GGGAAAGAGAAAATGGAAACAGCATGCAAAGTAAAAAAAGTAGCAAAGTTGCAAACAATAATGCAAACTATAGACAGGCTTATGCAGTTTGAATACTTGTTGACAGACAGACATTCACTTGCAGAAAATGTATTTACTCACTCTCACATTGTTCCAAAACTAAATTACTTTAGTTTCTTGGGAAATTGCTTCTTGGGAACACATACGTTTATATATATATATATACTATATATATATATGTCATGGTCTTTTTAATGAATGTGAATATGAAGTGGGGCTGTCATGGCCTGGGAAGGGCGGGATAAACGGTTGTCTTTCAAATTCCCTCTGCATGCAATAGGATAGCGCCACTCAGCCACTACAACCACTCAGGGGTGTGTTTCCCGTACAGCGCCGTAACTCGATGCTTCACCACAGTACGATGCATCCTTGAAGAAATCAACTAGCTAGTCACGACTGTTTCCCGAAACCATATTGTCGCAAAGTGGTCGTTCAACCACGTTGGTTTATGACGTCACACACGTGATGGAGTAATAACTTATTTTAATGAAACTGTTTGAGATCGAATCAACGCTTGATGTTTAGATATAAATTACAGACATGGCATCTGAGGAATATTTCTCATTTTTCTCAGTTATTTCGCTTTATTTCCAGATTCAATCATAGACTCGTTCTTACATAGTAGAGCACGTTCTTACATGCACACTCTTCATAAACGCTGCTTTAAATCTCTTGACAAACTCAAAGACGTAAATGACATTTGTATGTATTCTAAATAAAAGACACAGGTTGCACTGAATGTCAGCTTGCTTATTTTGCTCAAGATAAGGATTCATTCAGTCCACATGTCATGCAATCTAGAAACTCTTCTTCTAACCACAGCTCGAGATCTGTCGCTCAAACACACAACTTTGCGATGCTGTTTGCGAATGTTTGTTGGAACGATGGTTTCGGGAAACGCACGCCAGAGCACTTTCCCACCAGCGGAGCTAGTTGATACATTAAACTTTTGCCGTAACTGGTCGGCAAAACTACGAACACATCTTCCATTTTTAAGAATGGCTTAAGTGCCGTTCTTTGTTCTATTCTCAAAGAAAAGCTTAAAGGGATACTCCACTTTTTTTGGAAATAGGCTCATTTTACAACTCTCCCAGAGTTAAACTGTTGAGTTTTTACCGTTTTTGAATCCATTCAGCCGATCTCCGGTTCTGGCGGTACCACTTTTAGCATAGCTTAGCATACATCATTGAAGTGGACAAGACCATTAGCATTTCTACCACTTTTTCTACCATTTCTCCACTAAAGTTTCAAGAAACTTCACTGCCGTACCATGAGAGCAGCAGGCGTAATGATTTGACGCAGTGCCTGAAAATAGGCCACCTTCCGTCAACACAACGGAACTATTTTCAGGCGCTGCGTCATATCATTACGCCTGCTGCACTCATGGTACGGCAGTGAAGTTTCTTGATTATTACGCAGGAATGAGAGTATAGTTCCTAGCCATATCAGCCTAGAAAATCGCAACTTTACATTTTCCGTCGGTCTTAGTGCACGATGTAACTACAGAAGAGTCAAGTTTTAAATAGGAAAAATATCAAAACTCTTTGGTCATTTTTTTTTAGAAATGCTAATGGTCTTGTCCACTTCAATGATGTATGCTAAGCTATGCTAAAAGTGGTACCGCCAGAACCGGAGATCGGCTGAATGGATTCAAAAACGGTAAAACTCAACAGTTTAACTCTGGGGGAGTTGTAAAATGAGCCTATTTCCAAAAAAAGTGGAGTATCCCTTTAACTCCAAGTCCTCCAGAGTCGCGGCCAAAGCCGATTCGTAAGACCACTGTTCGCCAGCAGGAGCAGCCATTCTGTGTTTTCAAGTAGCAGGGAACCGTCTCTGTCGCCATTATGCTAAGCCCGCCCGCTGACTCTATACACGATGTGATTGGCCTGACTAGAGTTTGGTTTTTCCAGCTCGAAAGCCAAAGGAGAGCTGCTAGAACACCCTGGCTGCAAAATAAATTGGCTGCCGCTAGGGTGCGTCTAGATTTCTAGGCTAGGGCTGTCAAGCTCTACATTTCATTTGTACATAGAGTCTGGCATCGCTCCATTGACAAGTGTTAACTTCCTTGTAGGCGGGTCCTCTGTTGAAGTCTAAAACTATTGGATCTGCCCAGAGTCACTCTGGATCTGCCATAACCAATCGCCAACGTTTGGTCGTGACGTATGACGACTCAAACTAGTGCAGGACATCGACGGCATCGTTCCCAGCAACTCCCTCTGTTCACTGATTGGCCCGGTAAAAAATTGACCGGAGAAAACCAAAGAATACAGCACAATCCCAGACGTAGGACTGAAGGAAAATGAAAATTGAACGGAAGTACGTAGGAGGGCGGAGCCAGGCTAGTCAAGCTCCAAAGTGACTAAAAATACCATAAGTGATTAATATTAGGGATGTCCCGATCCGATACTCAGGATCGGTATCGGCTCCGATACTGCCATTTTTGCGGGATCGGGTAACGATCAGACATCGATCAGACGAGGCCGATCCAAATCCGATATACTATTATGTGTTATTGTTAAGCCCCACAAAAGGCACAAAAACATTCTAAAGTACCATAACGTTTTCGTGCACTCTATTATAAGTGTTCTGAAGCCATTATGTGAGATATAAATTAATATTTAAGTCATTAAATTCAAGATCACGTAAACTTTTCCCTCTCGCGGCTGTCAGTCATTCCCCATTCAGCATTCAAACAGCGCGTCGCGTTCGGTTACAGTCAATGATGAAACTATCTTCAAGATGATTCAATGTTAATACTATTATACTTGATCTGTAAGATAAAGGTCTATGTTTTCGCATAAAACAACTTTATCTTGCTGGACTTTATTGCTGTAACTCAATCGTGTTACTCTCTACTGGGTGTCGGACGCTGTCGGTTTGATCACAACACTAGAGTCAGAGCACTATAATTGTTCTTCACGCGCACAGTAACTGAAATTTAAAACTGTTAAAAGAAAAGGCTCAATAAACGATTGCATAGATAGATACTGTATAATACACTGTCCATCAATATGTATCTCCGTTGTGCTTTGAACTTTTCAAAGCGGACTCGACGCGCTGCGTGCTGTAACTCCACGTGGCTTCAAGCGCATCATTCTCCGCTCGGGATGCGCATAAGCGCTTTGTGCCGCACTGTATTGGAGCCTTTCATATCATAATGCAGTGACGCAATTAAAGCTTATTAACATTAATAATTATTAATTTTGCTGCCTCATTAAATAGCTGTGCAATACACTTAAAACATGTCTCAATTTTATAGCAGATTTAGCTATATCTAAAATAATTATCTTTTTCATTTTTGTTATCTTGTTTTTCATGAATGTATTTTACAACAATAAAAAGAGCAATGTGTATTATCCACTAATCTAGTTTATAATAGCATTTTTGTCATAGATTATGATCATATATTTTGGGGATTTGTTGTTTATCTTTATAATGAAGCTGTCTGTATTAAGTAGATTGTGTTTAACACACACAAGAGTGATAATCAGTTTAACACACAGTTATAGAAATTCGACTTGATTTAAAAAACAAACACTGTACTGGTATTTACAATGTAGAATGCTGCTGTTTAAATTGTTTTAACTTTAAGCCTGTTGGTAGCTAGCTAAGTACTGAAGTACCTGTATTTTCTTTCATTTATATATTTCTTTATTTTTTTGTAGTGTTTGAATAAAGGGTGGCAATCTTTCATAATCAACTGTTGTTGTGGACTATATAGGAGGTATATTTTAGGTGGCTAATTGAGAAAATTGCTATATTTTTTATTAGTTTAAGAATAAAATAAAAATATCGGATTAATATCGGTATCGGCAAAAGCCAAAGCTGCGGCATCGGTATCGGTATCGGAAGTGAAAAAGTGGTATCGGGACATCCCTAATTAATATGACTCGATATTGCAATTTTATAGAAGTCATATGATAGTTTTGTGTGAGGTTGTGTGCAAATTCAGTGATAATTGTCCAATAAAGTGAACTGTGCTTGGATGATCAAGGTTTCAAGGAATCATGGTGAATGAATAATTCAGACCATTGCTGAAGCGTCAAAAACTTGGTAAAACTAATCCATATGAATTGAGCAGTTTAGTTCAAATTTTCCAAAGAGACTCATCACTTTATTTTATGATTGAATTTAGGCTTTTATTAACATATAAACATTCATCAACTCACACATTAGTTATAATAGACGGAAGCTCGAGCATGTTCGCTTGACGTGTGAGAACCAATGAGGTTCATTCTCGCATTACGCATCAGGTTTGAGCTTCAGCAAGAACCAATGAGGTTCATTCTCGTGTTACGCATCACGTTTGAGCTTCTGCAAGAACCAATGAGGTTCATTCTCATGTTACGCATCACGTTTGAGCTTCAGCAAGAACCAATGAGGTTCATTCTCATGTTACGCATCACGTTTGAGCTTCAGCAAGAACCAATGAGGTTCATTCTCGTGTTACGCATCACGTTTGAGCTTCAGCAAGAACCAATGAGGATCATTCTCATGTTACGCATCACGTTTGAGCTTCAGCAAGAACCAATGAGGTTCATTCACGTGTTACGCGTCAACGGTATGAGGTGAACTAACCCTTTAATTATCATAACTCTGGATCAGACTTATAAAAACTTTGTGTTCATGTGTCAGATCTCACTACTTCTCTCATGAATGCTTAGGAAAGTTATAGTAGGTTAAGATTTTAGATTTCCAGTGAATAATGACTTAAATTTGGACCTTTTCCTCACACAAATATACAGTATGACTTCAGAAGAGAAAAATGCATATGAAGTTTTTAATTTCGGAGCTCTTTATTTATTCGTAGTATAAAATGTAAAAGAAAGACCAGGACATAGACAAATTCAAGTGTTCCAAGGACCAACAACAATAATGACATCGATTTCACTTTTGACTTTTCACTATTCCTTCAAGCCAAACAATCAGCTCTGTCTTACCTTCCAGAATGACTTCTTTGCCTGTTTTCTTCAGGGCCTGTACAGCCTCATCGTGAGTGGCTTCTCTGAGGTCGTTCCCGTTCACGGACAAAATCGCATCGCCCACGTAAAGAGCCTCCGTCTGGTCCGCCGCCAGCCCTTTGAAGATCTTTGAGATCAGGATGGGCATCTTATTCTCTTTACCGCCTGTAAAACAACATACAAATGTGGTCAATTTCAGTAGACACATTTTTTTGATATGCATACACTAAAATTTCTCTTCCAAGTTTTTACTTGTAGATGAACAAGAACATTTAAGAGAACCATGAGTCTAAAGAACTAGTATGACCTAGTATGAGTAGCAGTTAGTAAGAGCTAATCAGCCATCCTTTTCTAGGTCTAAAATTAGATCAATCTACATTTTTTATGTAACTGAAATTATGAAAGTTTTATGACTGACTTGTAAAACTAGTCTAAGCAGATTATGCAACTGGCCACAATAAAAATCTAAAAGTAAGATTCTCTTAACTTAGTAAAAACGCCTCTGTGGTCTAACAAGTCTTTTTAATCATGTGCTGACAAAGATGACCAATCTTTGCTGAAATCAAGAAGCCTGCAAATAAGCAGATAGTATGACAGTGATGCCTCATCCTGTAAAGTTCAGCATTACCACAAAAGGATTTACTCAAATAGCTTCTTCTTTCAAACTTTCGGATGGGTTGCATGGTGCCACTGAAAAATATGGACAAACTGGTAAGTACTATATTTTATACTTATAATAATCAAGCAGGTGGGAAAGTCATACTCTTATATGCCAATCTAACTGCACAAAACAAATATATCAGTCATAGAGAAACTGCACAAAAAATTAGTTTAAATTTGATAAAACTGTAGTTTACATGTTTACAAAAAAGCAGTTTACAATCAATCCAAAATGCATTTGTCTTTAATTGCAAATTAGGCAAGATTTATCAGTTATGCTAACAAGTTGGTCTTTTCAGAGCATGACAGCTCAAGTCTTTAGTTACTCGTATTATAAGTTGTGAAAGAATGACCAGGATATTGACATGAAAATTCACATTTTGTGTTCTAAGGACCAACAACATGAGGATGACTAAATAATGTTTAAAAAAAAATGTGTTTAGAATTGATAGAACTGTAGTTTACATGCACAAAAAAGCAATCAATCCAAATGCATTTGTTTTTAATTGCAAATTAGACCAGATTTATGGTAACAAATTGGACTTTCATGCATAATTTTCATATCTCAATTTGAAAGAATAATGTGTTTTTATGCACCAAAAATCTGTCTTACAGGGGAAGATACTATTTGAGACAGCCATTCAAGCTTAAGAGTTAAAGAAGTTTTCATCTGTTGTGATTTTACGCCTCATAATCTCCTTCTCAATTTAATGCACTTTTGTTTAGAGATTTCAAACATTGCAAGTAAACGTGGAAACTTCAAAATGAGGAATGACAAACTTTGGGAAAACTCTTTTTCTTTGTTTTCTTCGTTTTGAACTGTTGCGTCCTCATAACCCCGACAGATGAGTTTTCTCTAACTGCACAATCTATTTCCCTTTAAGTAATAATCTTGCCAACAGAAATGCTTTGACATCCAGGCTTTTCCACCCAATATCAGGCCTAAAAAAGCTCAGTTTGGGTCGAGCTCACCTTAAAGGAGAACTCCGGCGCAAAATGAACCTATTGGGCCCTATTTTAACGATCTGAAACGCAAGTGTCAAAGCGTAAAGCGCAAGTAACTTTGTGGGCGGATCCCTGCGCTGTTGCTATTTTCCCGGCGGGATAAATGCCTCTTGCGCCTGGCGCAAATCTAAAAGGGGTTGGTCTGAAGTAGCTTCATTATTCATAGGTGTGGTTTGGGCATAACGTGAAATAAACCAATCAGAGCGTCATCTCACATTCCCTTTAAGAGCAGGCGCGCTTGTTCTAAAGCGGATTCCTATTATAACGGCGGATTTGCCAGGCGCGCGCCAGGAGCGGTTCACAGCCGAGGAGAGCAACGTTCTCGTCAGGGCCGTAAAACACAGAGAAGTGACATTGGGGATGGAGAAACCCACGCAAATTAACTTCTGTTAAACAGGCGTATGATAATTTGGGTAAATGTGTAAGCTACATGCTTTTATAATAAATCTATCTATTATCTAAGTCTATCTATCTATCTATCTATCTATCTATCTATCTATCTATCTATCTATCTATCTATCGTAAATAATAATGTATGATTTGCAAAAATGAAAACTGCTGCTTAGATGAGAGAATCAGAGTGTATGCGCGTTGTGCACACGCTACATTGATTATGGCCAAGCATGCGCCCTTAAAATAGCATAATGAACAACGCGCAACGCGCCACTGACTTTAGACTAGGTTTTTTCTGGTCAGTGGCGCAATTGTTTTATAGAACAGCAAAATAGCATGAGGGAAAGTTTGCGCCGGAACACGCCTCCTCTTTGCGCTGAACCGCCCCGGGGAGCGCAAGTGTATTTCTTAGTTAACCGACGTGTGTCTGTGGAGGGAAAAGTCCGCTTTGCGCGGGTGCAAAATAGGAATGATACATGCGTCGGTGTACAAAGTCATTTGCGCCGAGTGCAAGATAGGGCCCTTAGTCTAAAGCCGCGTTTCCACCGCAATTACCAGGAACTATTTGTCCCAGGAACTTTTTTCATAGGAACTTTTTTTTCCCCCAGACCGGTTGCCTACTGCGTTTACACCGCGGTCTAAAGTACCGGGAAGATTATGTAAATTAGTCTGGTGACGTTGAACTGCGTGCGACTGCTCCTCCCTCCCAGTCTGCGCGACGCGTTTGTTTTGAGTATGGAGGATATTCAAGCTGTGCTGCTTTTGTGTGCGATCTATTGGTTTACTAACGAGGTAATTAACAAAACGGCAGAAAAGAGACGAGCATTAATACTAAAGCGTATTCAGAAAGCTCGTAATGCTAGATATAAAAGTAGACAACGTTTGTTATCAGCTATAGTGGACATTGACCGTGAGATGGATGGGACGAACGCGCGCCATCGGGCAGAAAGAACAAGATTGGTAAGAAATTAATCCACCAAAATTAACAAGAGTTGTGAATAATGTTATTATCGATTACATCAACTTATTTTTTGCAACTTTTGTGTGTTTTAGATATGGGAGTACTATCGAATGCGTCGTGTTTCGCAATCGGTTTGGATGCACACTAGAACAACAGAATGGTGGGACAGCGTGGTTCCAACTTTCACCGAAGCACAGTGGATAAAGAATTTCCGGATGTCTAAGGATACTTTTCTGTACCTCTGTCGTCGATTGCAACCCCAACTGGAGAGACATGACACAAACTACCGACATTGTGTACCCATTCAAAAAAGAATCGCCATTGCACTGTGGAAACTTGCGACCAACTCTGAGTATAGAAGCATCTCTCATTTATTTGGAGTCGGAGTTGCTACTGTGTGTCACTGTGTTCACGATTTCTGCTCATCTGTTGAGAAGGTACTCATGCAAGAAGTTATCCAGTTACCAAACAGTGAAAAGTTGAAAGAAATGGCGACGTATTTTGAGTGCAGATGGGGTTTGCCACAGTGTGTAGGTGCAATTGATGGATCACACATCCCCATTCTTGGACCAGAGGAGTACCACACAGAGTACTTCAACCGGAAGGGCTGGCATTCGATCATCCTACAGGCTGTTGTGGACGGAAGAGGCCTCTTTTGGAATGTTTTTTTAGGAGCGCCAGGGAGCCTGCATGATGCCAGAGTGCTACGTTTGTCAGGATTGTGGGACCTAGTGGATCGGGGTTTGTTACTACCTGATGTAACCAAGAACATTTGTGGACATGATGTGGGGTACTATGTCCTTGGTGATGCAGCCTATCCTTTGAAGAGCTGGCTGATGAAACCTTTCACCGACAACGGACGACTGACACCCCAACAACTTGTGTACAACCATAAAACAAGCAGAGCCAGGGTGGTGGTTGAGAATGCTTTTGGCAGACTAAAGGGCAGATGGAGGTGTTTGCTAAAACGAAATGACTGCAATACACACAAGGTCAAATCCCTGGTGGTCGCATGTTGTGTTCTGCATAACCTCTGTGAAATGAATGGTGATGAGTTCAGAGAAGAATGGACTACGGGTACATTCAACCAGCCTGACGGGGCACTGTCATCCACTGTAGAGGCCGAGGGTCTTGATGCACGTACAGGCCTAATGAAGTTTTTGACTACAGTGTAGGAAACTGCACTATCACTGGCTACACACCATAAAGTTTGTTTTTTTTGGTAAGGGAAAAATAACCTTCAGGTGCTGTAATGCACTTTTTTAGGCTGTATACACCTGTTGTACATTGTTTTTGCTGTGTAACACTTTTTTTTGTAAATAAAAATGATTACTTCTAAATCATGCTTTGGTTTTAATTTATTCTGTTATCACCTTCTGTTTACAGGTGAAACTTGAAAATTAGAATAACATGCAAAACTTTATTTCAGTAATTCAACTTAAATGCAAAGTGAGATATTTCAGCTATGAAAATCAAATTCAAAATTAGAATAAATGTGAAGTTTTCATAAGCTGTAAGACGTATAGTCATAATTATAACAGGCTTGAAAATGTAATACACCTTGCATGTAATGAGTCCATATACGAGTTTCACCTTTAAGTTGAATTACTGAAACAACTTTGCACAATACTTCTAAATTTGAGTTTCACCTGTATATTTGGCTGTCAAATATAAAATGTAATTTCATGAGTGACTTAAATTACCTACACTTTGCTTATTTTAACCTGTGCACTTTCACCAGAAATGTTTTACATCTAACCAGCACTTCAAGACCTTATGTAAGAGCTAAAATTACCATTGAGATGAAAAGGCACTTGATCTCAAAGTGACATTTTACAAACTTTATTTAACACAAGGCAAGTACTGCTTACTAAACATATATATTTTAAAATACAATCATGTGAAAAGAAATAAATTACGAGAACAGTAATATATTGTGTAAAGAAAAACAAATACAAATGTATTTTTGAACAACTGGGCAAACTGTCCAAGAACAGACAGAAACCTGGCCCTCTGCAGGAATGCAAACAATATATAAAAATTAGAATTGTGCAAAGAAAATAAAAAATGCAAATGTTCAATTTAAAGTGCAATCTCAGAGTTCAAGTGGCTACTTTTTGAATGACTGGGCAAACTGTCCAAGAAC